ATCTGTCGCCCCGCGCCGTGGGTGGGCTGCTCGTCGAGACCGACCACCAGGTCGACACGCGCAAACTGGTCCCCGCACTGCGGGCCGCCTGTGAAGCGGTCGGGGTACAGATCTTGGTCCAGACCGGTGTGACCTCAGTCGAGGGAACCCAGGGACAGCTCAAGCTTGCGTTGCGACTCAGCCACCTCCGACGCAATCCTTACAGGCCGATCAGGTGCTGCTGGCCGCCGGCGTCTGGCTTGAAGACGCCTCGTCACGCCGCTTGCCGCGTCTCGGCATGCGACCGATCAAAGGCGAGATCGTCCACCTCCAGGGCCAGCCGCTCATTGACCACGTCTTGCGCAACAGCGATATCTACATCATTCCCCGTGCCGGCGGTGAATTGCTGCTCGGTGCAACCGAAGAGGAGCAAGGATTCGACATGAAGCCCACAGCCGGCGGCGTGCTCGATCTTCTGCGCTACGCCTTTGAGATTCTGCCGGGCATCTACGATCTCAATGTGACCGAACTTGATGTCGGTCTGCGACCAACGTTCTCGGACCACATGCCGGTGATCGCTCCGACCGAAACCGAAGGCATCTTCATCGCCGGAGGTCACTACCGCGGCGGCATTCTGCTCGCGGCGAGCACGGCGCATTGGATAGGCGAAATCATGGTGAATGGCCGCGTACCGCCGGAGGTCGAGGCTTTCGGACTTGAGCGATTGCTCCAACAACAACGAATGCTGGAGGTGGCAGGATGAGTCAGGTGTGGGATGTTGCCGTACTCGGTGGTGGGGTGATTGGTCTCGCCTGCGCATTCGAACTGGCACGCAAGGGTCAAAAGGTGGTTGTCATCGAACGCGACCAGCCCGGCCAACAGGCCAGCCGCGTGGCCGCCGGACTGCTCGGGACGGCTGCGCTGCCGCTGGGCGAGCAGGATGACATCTTGCCGCTCAAGCTGGACAGCCTGCGTCGATATCCGCAGTTCATCGCCAAGGTCGAGTCGATCGGCCGGATGAGCGCTGGTTACCGGATGGACGGTACGCTCTGGGTGGCGAGAGACGCTGACGAAGATGAGCAACTTGAGCTGCTGCACAACGAGCGGACGCAACGCTACCTGAGGTCGCAGCGAGTGACGGCGAGCGAGATCTTTCAGCTCGAGCCAGAGTTGGCGCCCGGGCTGGTCGGCGGTCTGCTGGTCGACGAGGATATCCAGGTTGATCCGCGCCGACTGCTCGCGGCATTGGAGCGCGCGGTCACCAACGTTGGAGCGAAGCTCTACACACATCACGAGGCGGTTGGCGGCGAGTACGACGAGTCGGCAGAAGCGTGGAGCATCCAACTGCGCAGCCAACCACTCAGCCAAGACAGCGGCGAGGAACGTGACTCGATCCAAGCCCGCAATGTGCTGATCACGGCCGGACCCTGGTGCGATCAGATCATCGACACCGCCGGCGAGGCGGGCTCGCCTCTGTCGCCAACTGGGGTCGGACCGGTCAAAGGACAACTCCTGCGGTTGCGAGGACCGCGAATCATTGACCGCGTCATCCGCACGACCAACATCGACCTCGCCCAGCGTCGCGACGGCGAGCTGATCGTCGCATCGACGAAGGAACCGGAGGCCGGCTGGGATCTGACGCCGACCGAGGAGGCCCGCGAGGAACTCCTGACCCGAGCCTCGGGTTTGATTCCGCGTGTGCGAGAACTCGACCTGGATGAACAGAGCGTGGGTTTGCGGCCAGCCGTTGAGGACCACCTGCCGATCATCGGTCCGGCCGGTCGCCCGGGACTATGGATCGCGACCGGACACTACCGACACGGCATCCTGCTCGCTCCGGGAACAGCCTTCTGGCTGGCTGAGGCGATTGAATCCGGACAGATACCGGACGCAATCTCGGCCTACGGTCTCGAGCGGCTGAGAACGTCGCAATTGAATTCGGAGGCGGCATCGTGACACAGCAGCAAACGACCCTGGAAGTCAGCCTGAACGGCGAATCGATCACGCTGTCCAACGAATCGCTGCGCGAGGCGCTCTGCGAGATCGGCTACGACCCCGAGCAACAGGGCATCGCCGTCGCGATCAACATGTCGGTCGTGCCGCGCAGCGAATGGTCGGAGACCAATATCTGCAACGGCGACCGGATTGACATCGTCGGCGGCAAACAGGGTGGATAGAGCAACAGGGTGGATAGAGATAGAGAATAACTATGGGTACAACCGAACACGACACCTGGATGCTGGCCGGACGTGAGATGACCTCGCGGATCATCCTCGGGACGGCGCGCTATCCGTCGCAGGAGACGCTGCTGGAGTCGCTCAAGGCTTCCGGAACTGAACTGGTGACGGTCGCGCTGCGCCGCGTCAACGTCGGCTCGGCCGATGGCACCGATCCGACCAATCTCTACACCTTGCTGACTGAACGCGGCTACGCCCTGCTGCCCAACACCGCCGGCTGCTTCACCGCCGCCGACGCCATCCTGACCGCGCGAGCTCGCCCGCGAGGCGCTGGGCGTGTCGCTGATCAAGCTGGAAGTGATTGCCGACGAAGAAACGCTGCTGCCCGACACTGAAGGTCTGCTCGAAGGCGCGCAAGAACTCGTGCGTCGCGGGTTCCAGGTTCTGCCCTACACCAACGACGATCCGGTCACGGCTCGAAAGCTGGAGGATGTGGGTTGCTCGGCAGTGATGCCGTTGGGCGCGCCGATTGGTTCCGGCCTCGGCATCCGCAACCCGCACAACATTCAGCTGATCAAGGAACGGGCCAACGTTCCCGTGATCGTCGACGCCGGCGTCGGTACGGCTTCGGATGTCGCGATCGCGTTCGAGCTCGGCTGCGACGGTGTGCTGATGAACACGGCGGTCGCTCGCTCCCGCAATCCGGTGCAGATGGCCCGGGCGATGAATGCCGCCGCGCGAGCCGGGCGCGACGCGTTTCTCGCCGGCCGGATGCCGCGCAAGTTCTATGCCGATGCCTCATCCCCGTCCGAGGGGATGATCTCGCCACTCGAAACATCCTGACGAACAAGCTGATTGCAGATCGCGATTGAGAAGGAGATGGACCGTGTCTGATCCGACAATGTCACAGCGTCTCTGGGAAGAAAACCGAGACCTCGCGGAGGCCTGCCTCGAACACCCATTCATCGTGGTCTCGCCGACGGGACGCTCTCAGAGTCTCGCTATGGCCTGTTTGCACAACAGGACCACTTCTACCTCGACGCGTACGCTCGCTCCTACGCCTGGGGCGCAGTGCGCGCCTCGAATTGGGCGACGCGGCGCCAGTTTGGCCAGTTGCTCTCCGGCATCCTGACCGAGGGCACGCTGCACGAGAAAACGGCGCCCGAACTCGGCGTCTCGCTGGAGGATGTGCAGCCGCTGCCGGCGGCTCGCGAGTACACCGACTTCCTGCTGGCGACGGCGTCGCTGGGCACCATCGGCGAGCACCTGGCGGCCATGGCGCCCTGCGCCAAGTTGTACGGCTGGCTCGGATCGCGGCTCGCCGATCAACCGTACGACGACAAGTACGGCTTCTGGATCAGCATGTACTCCAGTCCCGACTACCAGGAGAAGGTCGAGATCATTCAGCGGATGTTGGATGAACACGGCGACGAATCCGGTTCGGAAGCGATCAAGTTCCGCACCGCGATGGAGCTTGAGTACAACTTCTTTGACTCTGCATGGGTGAATGGGGACGAGTAGTGAAGCTCTGGAGACTGTTCGGTTCGCTGCTGTTGATCAGCATTGCGGCCGTTGCCCTTGGCGCCTGCGCCGCATCGACGGACGTGCCGCAGGCTGGTTCGATCAGAGTCGTGGAGGCTCAATCCGAGCCAGAGCCCGATGTCATTCGGGTGCAGTTGGACTGGCTGCCCAACACCAATCACACGGGCATCTACGTCGCCATGGCGCAGGGTTGGTATGAGGAGGAGGGGATCGAGATAGAGATCCTCCCTACAGTGGCGCCGCCGGCGAAATCCTGCTCGACCAGGATGTCGCGGATGTCGCGTTCTCCTTCCCGACCTACTTGCCGTTCTTCCGGGCGCAGGGTTTCGACATTGTCTCGATCGCCGCCGTGCTGCAGACCAATCCCACCGAGGTTGCTGTGCTTGCAGACGGGCCGATTACGCGTCCCCGCGATCTCGACGGCCAGATCTATGGCGGATTCGGGGGACCGGCTGAGCAGTCGCAGTGGGAGTGGGTCGTGCGCGCCGACGGCGGCAAGGGCGACATCTCCGGCGTGATCCTCGACACGGCCGCCTATGAAGCTCTCTATGAAGGCCGCGTGCAGGCCGTTGAGCCGTTTGTCACCTGGGAGGGCATTGAGGCCAAGCAACGCGGGATTGAGCTTCGTACCTGGAAATACACCGACTTCGGTATCCCCGACTACCCGGGCACCGTTCTGGTCGCCGCGCGCGCGCTCGTCGACAGCGATCCGGATCTGCTCACACGATTCCTCGCCGCCACGATTAAGGGCTACGAATACGCCGTCTCGGAGCCGAACGAGGCTGCGCAGATGATGATCGATGTCGCCGGCGAGGATGTCTTTCCCCAACCTGGAGCTCGTCTTTGAGTCTGCCCGCCTGCTCGCCGCGCAGTACTACGTCGACCCCGAGGGCCGCTGGGGCTCGCAGACGCTTGAGCAATGGGAGGGCTACGCAGCATGGCTCTTCGAGCAAGGGTTGCTGCTCGATGTCGACGGCGACCCACTTGTCGATCCGCCCGATTACGCAGCGCAATTCACGAATGAGCTCTATGAAGCGGCGCGCGCGTCAATCAACTAGGAAGCCTCTGAACAACTGGTGTCGCAGGCTGAGCGGGGACCCCCCTTCAGCCTGCGGCAGCTTCCCCCGCAGAGGGGGGAAGCGGGGATCGGAGTTGTTCAGAGGATTCCTAGCGACAACTTTTAGCGATAGCGTGCGCCGTGCTCGAAGTTGAATCGGTCGACAAGGTATACGGGCGGGGCGACAACGAAGTTGTTGCGCTCGGTGGCGTCACGCTGACGGTGGCCGACGGTGAGTTTGCGGCCCTGGTTGGACCATCGGGCTGTGGCAAGACGACGCTGCTCAACCTGATTGCCGGGCTCGACGATGTCGATGGCGGTCGCATCCTCGTTGACGGGGAAACGTTGACGCCGGTGGAGCGACTGCATCACTTCGGGTACATGCCGCAGCAGGACATGCTCTTCCCCTGGCGCACGGTGCTCGAGAACGTGTCGCTTGGCCTGGAGGTGCAAGGCGTCGGACGCTCCGAGGCGAGAGCCCGCGCTGCCGAGATGTTTCCCCAGTTCGGACTGGGAGGCTTCGAGCATCGGCGACCGCATGAGCTGTCGGGCGGGATGAGGCAGCGGGCGAGCTTCTTGCGCACTTACCTGCTCGGACGGCCGTTTCTGCTGTTGGACGAACCATTCGGTGCGCTCGATGCCATTACCCGCGGACAACTGCAGGCGTGGTTGGCCGAGACCTGGAATCGGATCGGCGGCTCGGCTCTGCTGGTGACGCATGATCCGCATGAGGCGGTTGCGTTGTCAGATCGCGTGTTTGTGATGTCGTCGCGGCCGGGCCGGATTACCAATGTGCTGGAGGTCGATCTGCCCCGACCGCGGACGACGCACGCTGCCGAGACTGAGGCTGCGCACCGGTTGATCGATGTGTTGCGTCACGAAACTGAGCCGGAAGAGGCGCTCGCGTGAGCGGTAGACCGCTCGGTCGAGAGCTGGCAGTCAGCGTCGGCGCGCCACTCGGCCTCATGCTGTTCGTCCTGGCGGGATGGCAGTCGTACGTCTGGCTTTCCAACATCCGTCCGCAGGTCTTGCCGGGACCGATTCGAATCGTACGTGAGAGTGTCGAGTCCGCTGCTTCGATTAGCGAACATGCGCTGGTCACGATGTCGGAGGTCGGCGCGGGGTTTGCGATCAGCATCGTTTGCGCCTTGACGTTGGGTCTGTTGCTGGACATATCGACGCCGCTTCGCCGTGCGGTCTATCCGCTGATCGTCGCCTCCCAAACCGTGCCGATTCCGGTCGTGGCGCCGCTGATGATCGTCTGGTTTGGCTTCGGTGTGCTGCCCAAGATCATTGTGATTGGCCTGTTCACGTTTGTGCCCATTGTGTTGGGCTTCGCCGCCGGACTTGCCTCGACCGAGCGACCGACGTTGGATCTGATGCGCACATTCGGTAGCTCGCGCTGGCAGATGTATCGCTATGTCAAGATTCCGGCAGCGTTGCCCGACCTCTTCACCGGCCTGCGGATCGCCGCTATCTATGCGGTCCTGGGCGCAATCTTTGGCGAACTCGCCGGCGCGACCGACGGTCTCGGCATCTTCCTTGAGCAATCGCGTCTCTCGTTTCGGACCGACCTCGTGTTTGGCGCAATCTTCGTTGTCGCAATACTCAGCTACTTACTCTTCCTCGCTGTGGTCTTGATTGAACGCCGGGCGATCCCCTGGCATTTCCAAAGGCGTGAATCATGATTCTGCACCGGTTGATGCTGATCGCCGATCGACAGGGAACCAATGGTCGGCCATTGGCGGATGTGATCGTCCGCGCAGCCAATGGCGTCGGTGGGCGATTGATGGTGCAGATTCGTGACCGGGAGCTGCAGGACTTGGAATTGATGTCACTCATTCGCGCCGTCCAGCGGCGGGTGCCGCCTCAAACGGTGCTGATGGTCAACAATCGTCCTGACATCGCGCGGGCGATCGAGATTGGCTTGCACCTGCCCGCCGCGGTCGAGACGCCGCGTGGTCAGTACCAACTGCTGGGACGCTCAGTGCATGATGAGCACGAGGCGGATATCGCGCTGGGCGACGAAGTTGACTACGCCATCGTGGGCACCATTTTCGAGACGACGTCGCATCCCGGTCGAGCCGGCGCAGGACTTGTCCACCTCTCAGAGATCCGATCGCTGATGGGCAACATCGCTTGCTACGCGATTGGCGGGATCACAACCGAGAATGCCCGATCCGCGATCGAGGCGGGCGCCTGGGGTGTCGCGGTGCGCAGCGCCATCCTCTCGGCCGATGATCCGTCCGAGGCCGCGTATCAGCTGCACAGTAGCCTGCCGAAATGACCACGACTCCACCGCTCAGGAATGTAATTGAAGGCCGCAGCCCGTCGAGTTTCTCTTCGGTGCGCCGGGCTCGGGCGATGCTCAACAACGGACCCAATGCCCTCACTGCGCTTGCCGACGATCTGTCGGGAGCCGTCTCGGATGCCTCTGATGTCCTGATCGACCGCCCGTCCCGTCTGCTCTACGCGACGGATGCGTCGCTCTACGAGATGGAGCCGGTCGCGGTCGTGTTTCCGCGCACGCCGGCCGATGCAGCGGCCGCAGTCGACGTGGCACGCTCTCACGGAGTGCCCGTGCTGCCGCGCGGCGGCGGGACGAGCCTGGCGGGACAGGGCGTCAATCACGCCGTCGTGCTGGACTTCACGCGACACATGAACTCGGTTCTGGATATTGATGCTGACCGGCGAGTGGCTCGGGTGCAGCCGGGCCTCGTCTTGTCGGAGCTGAACAAGGCCGCGCGACGCTACGGGCTGCACTATCCGATCGATCCGTCGACCGCGAATCGCGCCACGATTGGCGGCGGGATTGGCAACAACTCCTGCGGCACACACAGCGGCTTGTATGGCAAGACGATTGATGTGGTGGATTCGGTCGACGTCGTGCTCTCCGATGGCGCAAACCTGCGCTTCGACCAGGTCGATGAGCGGCGGCTGCGAGCCTTGATCGATTCCGGCGGACGCGAGGGGCGCTTGTATCGAGATATGCGCGACCTGGCCGAGCGCGAACGAACGGAAATCGGCGAGCGATTCCCGGACATTCCTCGACGAGTCTCGGGCTACAACCTCGACACTCTGCTCAATCCTGGCGAGGTCAATCTGTCCAAGATGGTTGTGGGATCGGAGGGCACGCTGGCCGTCGTCACGGAGGCGACCGTCCAACTTGCGCAGTTACCGAAGCGGCGCGGGATTCTGGTCGCGCACTTCCGCACGTTGATCGAAGCGGCGGAAGCGACGGTCACGGCGAACGCTCACAAACCGGCCGCGATCGAACTCGTTGATGAGATCATCATCGAACGCTGCCGATCCAGCGTCGGCTACGCGCCGCTGGCGGAGTTCGTGGTCGGCGAGCCCGGCGCGATTTTGCTGATCGAGTGCTTCGCCGACACGGACGACGACCTGCGCGATCAGCTGCGAACCATTGAAGCCGACCTCGAATCGCAAGGCATGGGCTACGCCTCGGTGATTGAGACTGATCTCTCAGCGCAGGCGAAGATATGGCAGATGCGACAGGCTGGGCTCGGACTGCTGATGTCGATGCACGGCGATCCCAAACCGGTCGCGTTTGTCGAAGACACCGCAGTGCCGCCTGAGCGACTGCCGCAATTTGTCGCACGATTCGACGCAGCGGTTCGAGCGCGCGGTCTGAGAGCCGGCTACTACGGACATGCGGCCGCCGGCTGCCTGCACATCCGGCCGGTCGTGAATGTCAAAGATCAGCACGGCCTGGAGCAGACCGAAGCGTTGGCCGCGGAGATTGCCGACCTCGTGGTCGAGTTCGGCGGTTCACTCTCGGGCGAGCACGGCGACGGCATCGTGCGCGGCGCGTTCATGGAGAAGATGTTCGGCCCACAACTGGTTGACGCCTTCCGCGAAGCCAAGCAAATCTTCGACCCTGACGGTCTGTTCAATCCGGGCAAGATTATCGACACCCCGCCCTTTCGCGACAACCTGCGCCTGAGTCCGGAGACGGTCAATGCCGAGCCATCCGGCTGGCTTGATTTCTCGTCCGAGGGCGGTCTCGCGCAGGCGGTGGAGATGTGCAACGGACAGGGCGCGTGCCGCAAGTTCGATGGTGGAATGTGCCCCTCATTCCAGGTCACGCAGGACGAAGAGCACTCGACGCGCGGTCGCGCCAACCTGCTGCGTCAGATCCTGAACGGTGCGATGCCGCTGGAGGAGCTGTCGGGCGACCGCCTGCACGATGCACTCGATCTCTGCGTCGAGTGCAAAGCGTGCAAGGCCGAGTGTCCGTCGGGAGTCGATCTGGCCAAGATCAAGTACGAAGTGCTGGCGCATCGTCATCAGACCCACGGCGTGCCGCTCCGAGATCGAGCGTTTGCCAACATCGCCACGTTGCTTCGGCTGGGTTCGCTGGCGCCGGGGATTGCCAACTTCATCGGTTCGACCTCGATTGCCGGGAAGCTCCTGGGCCGGCTCGGCGTGCACCCAGAGCGTCCGGTTCCGAGGTTGGCGCAGCAGACGTTTGCTCGCTGGTTTGTGCGACGAACGTCGCCTGCCGCGACGCGTGGCGATGTCGTCCTCTATGACGACACGTTCACCAACTTCGTCCATCCGGAGGTCGGGATTGCGGCGACGCGAATCATCGAGGCGCTGGGCTATCGGGTGATCAGGGTCGAGAATCGCGCGTGTTGCGGTCGACCGTCAATCTCCAAGGGACTGCTCGACGAGGCTCGCAGCCTGGCCGAACGCAATGTCGCGGCCTTGTCGTCCTACGCAGCCTCAGGGACGCCGATCGTGGGCACGGAGCCGTCGTGTCTGTTGACGCTGCGGGACGAGTATCCGTTACTGCTTCGCAGCGAGTCGGCCTCGGCCGTAGCGTCGCAAGCGCTGCTCTTTGACGAATGGCTGACTCGCGAATTGGCAGCGGACGGGGCGCCGGAGATCTTCTCCGGGGACCACGGACCGCTCATGCTGCATACGCATTGCCACCAGAAGGCCCTGGCCGGATTTACACAAACACTCGATGTCCTCGGTCGCGCCGGCTACGAACCGCAGGCGATTGATAGTGGCTGCTGCGGGATGGCCGGGTCGTTTGGATTTGAATCAGAGCACTACGACATGTCGCGCAGCATGGGAGCGTTGCGGCTGTTCCCGGCGCTAGAGGCGGCAGCGGGAATGCCGGTGGCGATCACGGGTGTCTCGTGTCGGCAGCAGATCGGTCATTTCACCGACCGCGAACCGCGACACGTGGTCGAGTATTTGGCCGACGCACTGAAGTGAGAGCAGCGGGCGGGAGAGGCTTGGTGCCGAGGGGCAGAGTCGAACTGCCGACACCACGATTTTCAGTCGTGTGCTCTACCAACTGAGCTACCTCGGCGCGATAGCTGGATCAGCATACACTCCGCAGAGCCAATTTCGGACGTGTTGGCTAGTCCTGCGGCATCACTTCGACGGTCGGCATGACTGCTCGACGGACCTGCTCGAAGACCTCTTCGATTGTGCCCCGGGCATCGACCACATCCCAGGCGTAGCGCTCGGCCATGACCGACATCTCCTGCAATTGCTTGCGCTGGTGTTGCATGAATCCGTCGTAGATGCTGCGGTCGTGGAGATAGTCCCCGCCGGATTCCCAGAAGTCGAAGCCGCGTTCGAGCACTCGCAGGACCAGGTCTTCGGCGTCGATATCGAGGTAGATGACCTGGTCCGGAACCAGTGCAAAGCCGTAGATCTGCTCAAGCCATTCACGCGATGTCCCGCGCACGATTGCCCTCGCGATGAGCGAGAAGATGTAGCGGTCGGCGAGGACGACCATGCCGGCCTGTAACGCCGGCAACATAATCCGTTCGAAGCGGTCCCAGAAGTCGGTCGCGTAGAACAGGTTGAGGGTGATGGGGTCGAGTGTGTGCCCTTGTTTCGCCTCGTCGATACCGGGACCAACCAGCGGCGAGCGGCGTAGGCCGCTATCGACCACCCCCCAGCCCTGAGCTTCGAGATAGTCCTTCAGGATCGAGATGATCGTCGTGCGTCCGACGCCGTCGGTGCCCTCGATCACAATCAAGCGTCCCGGTAACCAGTCTTGATCGATGCCGGGAGGAGTCTCGCCGTAGAACTTGACGGCGGTCACAGGCCACCTCCGGCGGCGATGGCCGCGAAGCCGGTCTGGATGTGAGTTGGCACGTCAGAGATCTCGCGTCGCGGCATGCCTTCGAGCAGCGGTTCAACGAGTTCACGGACCAGGACCTGCTGGTTGACGAGCGACTGTGAGGCATCGATAGGTGTGATGTCGAATTCGTCGCAGAGGTCCTCGTACTCATCCAGGATTCGTCCCTGGAAGAGACGGAAGGACTCGTGCACGTCATCGGACAGGCCCAGGTCCATTCCGGCTTCGTAGAACTTGATCTCTGCTCTTGCAGCGGCAATGCGGCGGATCGATTCGTCCAATGAGACATGGAAGTACAGCGCGAGATTCGGCGGCGGCGCGAAGGAGTAGAGGTTCCGCACCCAGTGTCGATTGACACCGCGGGCGGCGTCTCGTGCGAATGCCGTGTAGACGTATCGGTCGGCGAGCACAATCACGCCGGCCTGTAGCGCCGGCAGAATCTGTTCGTGCGTACGGCTGGCAAAGTCGGCCGCGTGAATCAGGCTGAACGACATCGGAGTCAGGAGCTGTCGCCGCTTGCCTCGTTTGGTTGTATTGCGGACGATCGGCGACGAGTTCCACTCGGTGAAGACGGTGACGAAGCCCTCGCTGCGCAGCCATTTGTGGAGTAGGTCAAGCTGTGTGCTCTTGCCGGAGCCGTCGATGCCTTCAACGACGATCAGTCGGCCGGGCAAATCGGAGAATTCTGCAGAGGTTGCCACCGTCGTTTCCCTTCGCGGCGCTCGGATATGCGATCGGTTCGCAAATTTGCACTATAAGCGTAGACAATCCGGTTCAGGTTAATGAAACGAAACCATTGCCGGCCAAGTGTGACATGAGCGCCCGCCTCCTTTTGCGGCTGGAGGCAACGGCCGGCAGCGGGCGACATTAGGAGGCAAGCGGCCGGCCTCGCTATTCATCGAACGTTCGACGAACAGCGAGGCCGGCGATTGGGGACCATGTGAAGCCGCGGCTCTGTCCTACCGATGCAGAGGTCCCGTGGCGTCTGCGAGGCGGCTCTTGCACGGCTCGACCGGTCCGATCGATTCAATTCGCTGCACGCTCTTGCCACTGCCGAACTTGTCGGCGTAGGTGACGGTGATGCGCAGGAACCTGTTCGCATCGGCGGCGAGCGGTGAGTAGCTGGATTCGTGCGACGCGATCTCGCCGATCGTGCTCCA